TTCGCGGTTATGATGAGTGAAATATTCGGGGTAATTAAACAAAAATAGTCAGACGTTTATGTGATTTTGCTTCGCCACACACGCAGACCTGCCTGAATACCTAAAGTTACTCACAGGTAAATGGCCAAGACTGACTCATTGACTCAGGAACACTCGGCCATTGAAAATAGAAAACTAGAAAAATATGTTAGAATTATGAGTTAGGAAAATTCACATTGGCAATTAAGACTTGTGGCGGGCAAAGGAAAACATCGACTGCCCGCAGGTGAGATTCATTAATTTTATATGCTTGCTGAGAACTTTGGTTGCCTGGTGGGGATTCGTTCAAAGTACAATTTTAAGAGCCAACTGGGAGCCAAGAAAAAAGAGGAATGAATAGGAATGCTCATACCCATTTCAAAACCAAACAAATCGAATTGGTTTCTGGAATTTCATATTGTTCTTCTGGAATGTTAAGGATTGGGCATCTTGAAAAAAGATCACCATTCCAGGAACATTGGTCCGCCAATCTGTCTGTCACTCGAATTGGTTCCCTATTCAGAAACCAAGTGGGGGCGCCTTCGTCATTATCACTGTCACATTCGCAGTCGCAGTCGCAGTCACTTGTCATTATGAACATATAAAAAGGAAGATCTGGACCCCCACTGCATTTCGCTGATGTGGAATGGCGCCACATCAATCATCGCATTAAAAAGATAGTAAGTAAGGAATTAAGAATATCAATCTTGGGTAACCGTATCGATTTCCTCGATAAACTGGACCCAATGGTTCCAGTTCCCATTCCCTTTGAATTCCTCCTGACTAAGCATGTCTGTGGGAATCTCGTAAGACAACCAGTCACGTCAAGAATTCAAAGCCAAGGAAGTTCCATGGAAATGGTGATCAGCACTTCGAGTTTGTATTAAATTCTGTTCCGGCGAAGCCCAGTAGCAAAGTACTCAATGGGACCCCCTTTTGGGACCCAGGCCCAGGAATCAGCAGATGTGAAATTTGAAGAACACGTGCTCCGTCGATCCGTCTGGCAACTTGCATTCCGCGAGCTATGCGGAAAAGCCTTGCGAAACCCTCCAGCGATCGCATTTATTCTAATTATTGTCATTTTTTGTTTTACTTTATGTGCAGTGTTAATTTGAGAGCACTGTATTTGTATCTTTGTATCTATATCTCTTTCTGTTACTGTTGCTGTTTCTGTGTCTGGGCGAGTTTGTCTGGTTGTCTGTCAATTAACCTCAGCGCTTTGCGTTGATACAGTAAGTTATGGCTTTTTAATCGCTGAAAATTTGCATGAGCAACTGGGCTCGTGCTCGTATTTCACTCGCTCCGTCAGTCAGTCAGTCATTCAGTCAGTCAGTCATTCCAGCAACTTTGCCTCATTAGCAGGCCCTGCAGTTAAGTCCATGCCCATGACTCCAAGTGCATGCCAAAAGCAAAGTTGAGTTCAGATCGGAGTCAGAACTGCACTGTGAAAAACTACCTTTAAAATAAGCTACCAATTTTTTAGTGACTTTTAAGTAGTTGCATATTTTTTACAAGAGTATCAATAATAATATGATACCATAATAGTAATATCTTATCAAAATTATGTGAACATATTATTAATAAATTATTCAATACATGATATTTATATCAATATATGATATTAGGTTCGGAGAAATTATGAATAAATAATAAATATACTTGCTTTTGAAAAAGAAAATATGGAACTAAGCTAGGATATCCAATGAATTGATGACATATTTTAATATTTGAAAATCATATTTTCCATCTCAAAGCGTTAAAAATAAAACGATCTGATATTTCGATTCTTTGTTTAGTGCATATGTAAACAATTGATATGGCTACATGGCACTGACATCTTAACATTTGTTTTCCTGTGTGCCTTTGTGCATTCATTTCATTCAGATCTTGGAGGCAGTTCCTCTGCATTTCATAAATTATTCATTGCGAATCCCTCCGAGTTGGACATTTTGTATCTGGCAGATACGTCAGTAGACGGTAAACCGTCGACATTTGACGGCTGACGTTTGAGGCACGTCACTGACCCCCCGATTGCATTTATGAATTTGATTTTGGCGGCGATTCCCGTTTCACATATTCCCCGAATGCCGAATGCCGAAAGCCAGCAAAAGCCAACGGGACATATGAATCAGCCAACTTATTACCCGCATAAGCACTTCTACATGTGAGTACGTCTGCATGTCTGAGCATATCAAAATTTGGCCGGAGGTCAGTGCACTTTTCAAAAAGCGACATTATTTATTGTTCCGAATCGAGATTGGGTGTTAAGAATTTGGGGCATTGGCAGAGGGGGGAATGGGGGAAAACCCACTTCATATCTGAGTTCTAATTAAACAGGCAATTAATAGGCTCTCTAATCAGATTTGCCACAGCTCATTTAGTTTGCTTTTTTGATCCCCTCGCTGATCTTGAATTTTTTTTCGTTTTTTTTTTTTCGACTAACTTGCGATACACTCAAATTCGGGTTCGAGTTCAGCCAAGTGCGCTACATATTTGCATATTCGTTGGTATTGCCCACTATTGTTGCTGCTGTACCGGCGATGTTGCTGCTGTACCGGCGATATTGCTGCTGGTGTTGCTGTTGCCATTGACCGGCATCATTAATCTTAATGATGCGAAAGTTGCGACTGATTAATTTGTTCGATAATTAAAATTGAGGGCCCTGCCGAAGGGGGAGGATCTTCTTTTAATCGATCTTACAATAAACGGAAGCAAAGGAAGAGCCGGCTGAATTGAAGCAGAATAACCATAACAAAAGGCCTTTCAAAACAAGAAAGACTGAGAAAAAATAAACACGAACACGGGTCAAGTAAAGCAAGTAATCAGACAAATGTTATATTAATGTTCAACGAGAGTTATGAGAATATCAGCGTGTTTTGCTGTCGTGCAACTTCCGACACGTTTCTTTAGCCGACTTTGTTGACGGCTTTTGTTTTCCATATATTCTACATGTGCGTAGTTGTCAGCAAAAACAACACTTTAGATATGTCTATTAACGCTTTTCCGCAGACTATCTATTGTGTTGCTTGGAGCCCCCCCAAAAGTGCTTCCCAATCGCATACCAATGCACTATGCAAATCCTGATTTATTACATTTTAACACCCACCATTTATCTCGAACATTTTTATGTTATTTATTTACGGCTCAGAGATGCTGGCAAAAAAATTAACGCCTTTGGTTTTGGCTTGTTCTCACTTTTTTGCCCATTCAAAACATTTATTTATTTGTCGCCGGCTGTTCTACTAATTCCAAGAGCTCAAAAAAAATGTCACACGAAGAGGAAGAGGAAAATTCTTATGAAATATCTTGATACGTTTGCACATGTATCTGAGATATGTAAGTCAAACCGAATATGTCTAGTCGCAGCTAATAAATCCAAATGAAAATATTTCACCAGACATAAGCACTCGGATCGGCCCACATGTGCCACAGTTATGATTTTAGTGTTGTCTGCTATTTATTTTTATTTTACATATTTAATACATATTTTATTGTTCGCAGTTCTGTTTCTGCTTTTAGCCTTTTTATTGTCAAATTGCTGGTGTATTTTTTAACATTTTCTGTTTATGCCTTGCATATATCACAATTTTTTATTGCAAGCTGCTTTCATTCGGCTTCTTTTTACTTTTTTGGTAGGTTAATTAAGCAGTTTTATTGTTTCCTCGTTGTTGTAGTCTTGCCATATTATATCATAGTTTTTATGACTGTTCTCGAGCCGACAAACGTTCAATTCGCTGCACACAAGAGTTCATTTCAAACAAATACATACATCAAAATTCTGACACGCTTCTGTCTGTTTGGCAAAAAAAAAAATCAGAAAGGAAAGTACACAAAAAAGTAAAATAAACATAAAGAAAATAAATGGCAAATTTAAAAAAGAACTGACTTTGCTATTTTGGGAACCGGCATTGGCGTCCTCGATCGCTCTCGTTTCCATGCCATGCATTTCTTTAGCTTTTTTTCTCAGCCAAGCATTTTCTATTGGAAATTTTATTTTCCCATAAATCTAACCTCAAAGCTTCTCGCACTCATCATTTGTCTAAATTTTTTTTAGCACAGTTTTCTCGTTTTTTGTTTATTTTCCCAACATTTTCTTTACGCACATTTCTCTTCTGTTTTGTTTGCTTACGCCAATCGCTTGCAAAAAAAAGTTAACAAATTAATGTTGCTCTTTTTCTTTTTGGCCAATCCACATCCTACAGCGCCAGAAATTCGATTGGTATCACTATTTTTAGTAAAGGGCATGTTTACTTAATTTTCGATTTTTATTGTATTTCGATTTCATTTTATTTTTGCAGTGGCGCTGAAACGTGTGAAAGTTTGGCATAAACATTGCTTCAATTTCAATTCGAATCTATTCACCGTGTAAAATATCTATTTAAAATAGATTTCTTATGCCAGTCGGCATTTTGTAGAAAATATTTATCAAGTGTTTTACTCTCAGGAATCTGAACATTAATTTTATTGGGCACTGTGTGTAAGCAAATAGCTTAAGTTGTTTTGTTCTTAGGTTAAAACTAATGGCACTCGAAAATTGTAGAATTTTTCTCCAGTCGATGAAAGATATGTGGATAATAATACCCGGTGCTAAAACTAATTTCCTGCTGGGTTAATAAATACTTGGTGAGCTCTTTTTGAAAAAGAGGATCAAATTTTTTTTAAATTTGCGTAATTAAAGTCATATTAGTGCTAAGCTTTTAACAATAAAATTTGTAAATTGTTCAAAAATATGTACAAACATTATGCTAATTACATTTATTTATCAATTTTATATTTTTAAGGCAAGAAAGATTATATTCACCTCTGAGTCAAAAGCTCGGAAATGACAGTTCTTTGAATTTATGATGATTCTATTCACTATAAAAATTCTCAAGTTAAGAATATTCGAAAATTCGTCAGACTACGTTAAGTAATAAATTATCTTTTCCACATTAATATTATGCAATTTTATTTGTCTGTGTACGTTAAATATATTTCTGCACTTCCGCTGCACAATTTTATTATCCCACTCGAATTATGATATTTTTAATTTTCGCCTAGTTCTTGGCACATATAAAATTCGGCAATATTTCGGCGTTTGCAGCAGTTGTGCAGAGATCTTGGCGCGAAGTTCGAAATAAGACTGAGGGAACGTTTTCAGAAAGCATACAAAGTGTATTCGCATTTTCCTGCTCAGCGTTAGTTATTCGCGAGCGTTTGGCCTGTGTAAACAATCTGGCGATATAGCTGTGCGTATCCACAAGGTTAGGAGAGCAGGTAACTCGTGGTGGGTGTGTATGGGATTCTATGGGAATATGTAGGATCTCCAAGCCTAGGTATGCTATGCTATATGACTGGAGAGCTCTTTCCTCCGAACAGAAGAGCACCGCAATCCAGTGAATCACGCAACCACCTCTAGACGAAATTGCTTTCTTTCTCTCGCAAATAATTTTAGAATACCACCTATACATACGCTCTCCAATATGCTTTCTATTTTTTTGCTATTTGACTTATTTTATTTTTATTTTGCTAGCAGGCCGCACTGTGCCAACAAACTAATAATATCGCAGCTCTCGATTGCAACCATCTGCAACGGATTTTGACAATCTGATAAATGCGATGCAAATTGCGAAAATACATATCTTTCGAGAGGAGGAATCTGAGCAATGCTGGCGCCCTGTGGCCATAAAGCTCTGCACTTGACCTCAGTGCCGCCGGAAAGGCGGAAAAGTTTATTGTTTCAATTGGCAGTTGGCAGTTGGCGGTGTTCTCAACCGCAAACTAAATGAAACACTGGGTTCTGAGTGGTATGTTCATATACTGATCTGGATTCGGGGAGTGTCTTGGTTCGTTGGGTTAGCACCAACGCCCTATTCGTGCGAATTTATGACCAAATAAAATCGGAACGCCCCTGACAAATTCTGGGACTTTTTTAAAAAACATGCCATCGTCTGTTCCGCTTTTTGGCTCTAATTGCCAAATGTCTATGTTATACGCTCGTGCCTCGCCCGCAATGTCTGTGACATAAGGCAATAATTCCGAGATCTTCTGAGATCCGACATGTGGGAGCGTTGATCTTTGGGGCTATTTTCGGAGCCCTGGTCTTCCAGGAAGTATGCAATTTATTATGCAAACGGCTTGGCTAGCTTCCACTGGGTTATTTGCACTCAAATTAACTCTAATTTATGGTATTGTCCCTGAATCGGTGACATTAATTCGATATAAAAAATAGATATAAACGAAAAAACTTGCTGAACCAGCGTTCGCAAATTCGACTGTTTGATTTTTCATGTCTTATTGCACCTTTAAAAGAAATCTGTTTTTTGGTCGATGATCAGAGATGTGAGTGTGGAGATCCTAGCCCACTAATTGGCAAACGCCCCAATAAAAAAGCACTTAAATATGCCTTTGTTTGTTATGATTTCCTAATTAGCAGCATATCAAATCATAATTGGGCACTAAAAGTATATTTTATTGTTGCAACTACTTTTGCAGAATTTGAAAACAAGGCAATAACTCTATGCTGGGCATTAATTCAGAGCATAAATTCCCTAGCAACTTTGGCAGCACACGCAGAGCATTAAAATTAAGACATTGTGGCGGGGAATTTTATGGCACACCAATTGAGGTCGCAACTTGGCCACTAAAAAAAATAATTGAGAGTCGGCCAATAATAAGAGGAAGCCAACACTGACCGCACTGGTTCACTATGTAAATAAATGGCCTTTTGCTGCTAGCGGATTTACAATTTTAAAGCTAATTTTTGGTGGAAAAAGAACACCCAAGTAGTTTTGCCTACCATAAAGATCTCCATGAAAGCAATGGGCCGGGCAGCTTTCTTCTGCCTTCCTGGCTGAAAATCTCCACTGGCAGAGGCTACCATCTTGTGGTACATCTTGTCTAATTGATTGCAACTATTTTTCACTGTTCATTATTTTCCCGTAGGAGTTTTCTCTGGGCTTTCCCTGCACTCGGTGCCCACTGATTTAGCACTGAAAAGTCGCGCAGACGCAACGCCAACTTGCAATCACAATGCCACGATCTCCAGAGAATTGCAGGCGACAACATGCGATTTCGAGTTCACTAAACTGTGGCTGCGCCTGCGCAATTTGTAAGGCCTTTAAGCAGCCAAGCCTCGATGCAAATTAGGAGGTCCTTGCTCTGCAGAAAGCCTGTATATGTGGTATTATAATATAAGACTCCGAGTGGAACCGAATCCGCGTAGGAGGAGCAGGCAAATATGATCGGCTCTGCGTCACGCGAGCGACTGAAAGATCACTTGTGTTGGTGGCAGGCGGATGGCGCAGATGCTGGTTTCTGCCTCTGCGAGAACAACAAGAGCAGCAGCAGCAGCAGCAGCAGCAACATCAGCAACAGCAACATCAGCAGCAGCAGCAGCAGCAACATCACCAGCAGCAACAGCAACACAATGTAGAAGACAAGGAAGGGCGCTGTCTCTGTCATCTGCAATATCCCATCCTCAGATGGTGTACAACTTGTATATAATAAATACCCTAATGAATTATTACAGTTTAATGAAAAATGGGCTGAAATAATTACGGGGTCCGTGGCGTCTGATTGAAGAAGTTTTGTGCCTGAAAACAACACCCATTTGCCGCTCTTAATTACAACAACTGTACAAACACTAATGAGTGAGGAGAACACTGGATGGATTTAACAACAATTTTCGCGGTCTCAGCATGGTCTGTTATAATAGGCCTGGTGTTTGCATACCCCACATGGGTCGGTATCTTGGGATATGGATATATGCAAACGGCAGGGCCAAAGCAATCGTAAAAGCAAGTGGGACCCCAGAGAGTTGGCAACATACGTATACCTCCTATACCTCACTACATTCCAGCCTTTGTATAAAAGGGTATTTAAGACCCTTTTACTGACTGGCCTGAAGGGCCCGTTTTGGGTACTTATTAACGCTTCATTAAATTTCCGTTTGCGCCCACAAAGCAAATGCGAATGGACAGCCACGATGTTATATTTTTTTTTTTGGCAGCCCAAGAGGGCCTTATGAAGGTTAAGAACACTCGAGAGTAAAACTGGTTTTTCAGAACCCATCGATAAGGCGGATTCCTCCAGAGAGCTGGCAGCCGATAAGATCCAAGTTAATTGAGACTGGCAAGTGCCCTGGTCAGAACTTTGAACCGGAACTGTTAGTTCAGAAAAAGAAAAAAACAAATGATTAGGTTTGTTTTCAAATGTTGTATTAACCAGCGAAAGGATCAGATAAGACTTAAGCGAATTGCCATATTACTTAAACTGCCCAAAATGCTAATTGTTGATAACCTTAAAATTAAATCTACGGCTTAGCTAATTAAGCCCAGATCGTAGAGAATTTCAACTGATTGAACTGATATAAATATTCTGGTTTCTATAGGGTATCCGAAAGTGGGCCCTCACATATCTCACAAATTTTTTTGAGCAGCTGCGATGATTACCGCTGAGACACTTCTCATACGCAACTGATTGCGGTCCGAGAAGAAATCAACAAAATATAAACCATACAAATTAATAAATTTTTCGTATTATATGTATTATTACGCACGAGAAACAAAAAGGCCACAACAAAGACAATAGATTGAACCGAAAGCCAAACAGAAACCAAGTTCATGGTTGGCAGTTGTCAGTTGGCCATTGAAAGCCGCATTTGAGGCTTGGGGCTTTGGTTTTTTTCAGGCTTTTTAGGTTTTGGGCCTGGTTGGGTTGGGTTTTCGGGCGACTGTTCAATCCATCAAAAGAGATTATATTCATTAACTAGGCGAGCGGCCGGCAACAAGAATTGGAACGTCGATGGTGCTGATGGCCACTGTACTGCTGGAATTTCTTAATTTTTTTGACAGTTCTCGTCAAAATGTGTTGAAATTGCTATTATTATTTGTATGGGTTACAAGAATCATCTAACAGCGCGCATGACAAGCCAAAATTCTGGGTATTCAATAGCCGCGAGATCTGTGGACTCCATTAAAAGACCGTTTTTATTTCTGACAATTAGATGCCATCAAAATTAATGCCCGTCCTCAGAAAATTCGCTCTAATTTTTTAGCAGCATCTGTTCGAGTAGTCAGCGCCTAACGCACTTGACATTCAAATCAAGAAAGTTTGGTCATCCCATCTTGGATGGATGGCCTTGGCTGGCCTCCGATATAGACCAATATAGATATTACATATATGTCTATATGGCACAACCGTACAGATTTAAATACAGATTCCCGCAGCTGTCGGATGTGCTCCGGCAATTAGTTTGTATTCACTTTGACATGTTTACAAGAACCAAAACGCTATTGGCCTAGTCTAGAGTCCAATAATTATGGGAAGCAGATGGTTTGCCTCATCCAATTTTTGGGGGGAGGCGTAAAAAACGATTTGAGAACACTCTGGAAAGGGCAGGGTGCTTAAAGGCTTCCGGGAGCAGACCTTAAAGAGGCCCCAGTAATCTCGACCTCGGCGACAAATGAGGAAATGATTTTTCGAAACTCCACGAAAATGTATTATTAATGGCGATGCGACCAAAATTCAAATTTGATAGCTCACAACAATGGCAAGGCAATTATTGCTTTAATTTTAATTGCACGCTGTTTACCACAGAAAAGGAGATGACCGCTTAAGATCTTCATGCAAATTTGGCAAATGGAACCACTTCGGCTTTTATCTTACTGATTCGGAATCGGAATCTATCGATTCGTCTCGTCTGCGCTACCAATTTGGTAGCTTGCTAACCAAGTGGGCTAACCAGTGCAGTCGAAGGCTTTGTTTCGTTGAGACTGTGACCCAAAGCAAATAAGGCATTTATATAGACGCGCGAATTAATATTTATGAATAATAATTATAATGATAATAATTATTCAAGTGTATTCTATTTGGTAACCCAACCTAACGAGATCCACTCGAGGTTGATGTACTTGAAATGATGTACTTGCTCTTGTTGAGCAAACAGACCCACATACTCGAACTTAGTCACATCCATGCCATAGACACAGTGTTTTCTTAGTGGGTAGTGCCAGTGCCGTAGTTTCACAAGTAACGAAGTAACTATATATGCGATAGTTGGCCACTCTTAATCAGAAGGTGTGCCAAACAAGCCATATACATAAGCACTTTAGTATGTGCTTAGCTCTTGACAACGCACATCTGCTCGAAGACCGGATTATGAGGCCCCAGCGATACAGCGATCGTATCGTTCAATCGATCGATCGATTTGCAAAGCCAGGGATTGCGACATCAATGGGTCGTACTATCCATACAAATGTGCCTAACTGCCTGACATTTGTTTACCGATTTGCATTGTCTCCGCCATTTAACGGCGTTCATTAACCGCAGGTATTTATGACCCCCAATTCCATTAACCAGCTACCAGCTACCAGCCACCACGTTCTTATTCTAATTTATCCAATTTGGCATAGGTCTGCCATCAATCTACTTAGCATGGCCATTGGCCATCGATCGATTCGATTGTCACGCTCGACATGACAAATTGGACAAGAGTTCATTTGTGGGTGGATATTTTAGACCAGACCGGGGTATACCAAATATACCTTATATCCATTTAGCCCGCCAGTCTTTTCACTCGGACGCAAACGGGTTTTCGCGATTCTGTTTCTGGTGCCCTGGGCCAGCAGACCAATCTGACCCAATTTCCTTGACACATGCCTGGCAGGTTTACAAACAAAAACTGTTACGGTTAACAATAATTAATTCTTTTTCTGCCCTCTCCAGCGGGGCGTTGGCAGTTCTCATTATTCCAACTGGGCCGCTGTCTCTTTTTCGCCAATTGCCGATTTCATTAGGCCATAATTGAGTTTAGTTGTCGGTTTGTCAGTTTGTCAGTGAGCCCATAAACATGGATAGGTGCCCTGGGGCCAAAAGCCGGGCAAACCACCTCGCAACCACCGCTGGAGACCCGGGTTTTTGGCGCTAAAGAGCAACCTCAGCTTGCGGCCACGTTCATTGAGAATTGCGGATGCCGGATCGCGAATTGTTAATCGAGAACCCCGGCCACAAAGTTCCCACGCCTCGAATTGTTCACGCACGCTTTAGTATTCATAAACAAGAAAAAGCTTTATCTCATAGCTCGAATTTTATATACCTGGTACTTAAGAATAAATATATAAGACTATGGTGCATTGCCCTTTCAGTTGCAATATGCAGATGTTGTCTGATTTTTATAGCATATTTGTAGGGGTTGATTGGATTCCTTACGGAAAAATCGATCATGGAAATTAGTTTAAATTGTGACCTACACTCAGAAGATTTTAATCTACATTTTTAGAGTATTTCACTATAAATTCGTAGAGGTATCCGACATCAAAATCGGAATAAAATTACCAAATTTATGAAAATTAGAAGCGCAGTTTTGGGTACCAATACTGAAACTCTTGCATTTAAGGAAAAATTGAACATGAAAATGGATACAAATTATGACATCCGTTTAAAAGAAATATTTTGATGTAGAATATTAGAGAATTTAAACACCAACTCATAAAGGCATCCCACGTGTAAATCGGTATAGAATTACCCAAGTTACGAAATTTGGAAGTCCAGTTTTGGGTTCCAGTACTGAAGACCCTTGGAAACAAGGAAAAATCGAACATGAAAATGGGTGAAAATGCTGACCCTCGGACAAAGTAAATATTTTGATGTAGAATATTAGAGAATTTAAACATGAACTCATAGAGGCATCCCACTT